TCCAAAAGAGCTAGATATTCTGAACTGAATTATCCATGGTGGGCTTCTGGGTCAGTGTAAATTAGACTTCCATCTGCCATCTATTAAAATTACTACGACAAGAAGAAAACAATTAAAATTCGGCTCTGAGGTAGACTAAGAATAATTTAAAAGAGCACGGCATTACTCAGACTCTTCTGTCTCCAAAGCAAGGACCTATTAAACATACTTCTCAAATTTTTCCAAACAAATAAATTCTTAGTGCTTGTGTTCAGTTTTTTACTTGGTTATAGTTCAGGCTCCAGGCAGGTCAGTGAAAAATTGCACAAACTGTAACTTGTACACGCATAAAATGTGTATGTAAACAATGCCTTCCCTCTTTTATGCTCTAAGGAACTGGGCTGGCAAGGAAAACCACACTCTACAGAGCCCTCCATTTAACCAAAGAGGGAAACTTTTGCCTTTTCAGTTTGGAAATTGACTGTGTTCCTGCTTTAATTGAAAAAGTCAGTGAGAGTTTTTCCACTAAGGCAGAATTTCCCCCAACAAGTTAAAATTACTAATGGTTTAAATTTTGCAGCAATTCCTGGAATCTCAACGAGTGATTCCTACCATCGCTGTCTTTGCTGTGGGCTGAGCTACATCTTTATGTCCAAACAGACCACAATCTGGTCATGGGACATGCATTTGTACATAGTTCACTGTCTCAAAAGCATACGTATAAGTTGATGTTTTTCAGGATGTGACATTACCTTTTAAGACATTCTAATCCTAAAAAAAGAAAACTGTAGATCATATGTTCAGTAGCATTCTGGTGATTATCGTACAAAAATATTTCTAGTCACCAAAATCCAGTATTTTGACGTACATTCACAAAATAGCCTGCTGTAGGCATCAAAACTTCCTGGATGCCTTTGGACTCAGCACCATGGTCTGATTACAATTATGCACTAAATGAGCTATTGCAATTGTCTCTGTGCAAACTCTTAGCAGCAGCAGCAAAGGCACAAAAACATGACTAAGGTTTAACTTTCTCTCATGGTGAGCAAAGTAGCATCCCCTTACCTTGTGACCTAAAAAGACAGTCGTTCAGGCCCAGCTGATGTGTTGTCAGAGGTTTTACCGCATAACTTTGTATGTATTGGGGCCCTAAATTTTTGCCACTGAGCACGTGAACGTGTACACAGGTCTGAACCCAGAAAACATCTGGTCCCACCAAGGACAGCCAGCTAGCAATTTGTGGTGCTATCCTTGTATGTTCTGCATTTAGTCAATAATGATGAGGTTACTTTTGAGCAAAATACTTCTGTGTCTCATTCCAGGGAAGGTTCACAGCCAAATGCAGAGAGGTGTGCCCTTGCCACTAACAGTGAGGTGCCTGTCTTGTTTACAGACATAACTGAAGACACATCCTGGATCCTCTACAATTTTTTCATTCTCATCCTAGTTCTATTCTTTACAGTATTTTTGAAAGTGAAGTTTGCTTTGGTGCTAAAATTCGTAATTGCAAAGAGGTCATGTTGTCTACCTTGACTTTAGTAAGGCTTTTGACACTGTCTCCCATAACATCCCCACAGAAAAACTGACAAAGTACAGGTTAGGCAATTGCACTGTGAGGTGAACTGAAAACTGGCTGAATGGCCAGGCCCAGAAGGTTGTGATCACCAGCACAAGTCCAGCTGGACACAAGTCACTACTGGTGTACCCTAGAGGTCAATACTGGGACCAATACTGTTTAACATCTTCATGAATAACCCAGATGATAGGGCAAAGTGCTCCCTCAGCAAGTTCACAGATGATACAAAACTGGGAGGAGTGGCTGATACATGAGACAGTTATACTGCTATTCAGAGGCACCTGGATGGGCCACAGACATCATCTGAGAGAAATCTCATGAAGATCAACAAGGGATAAATGCAAAGCTCTGCATCAGGGGAGGAATAATGCAAGGCACCAGTACATGCTGGAGGCCAACTGGCTGTAGATCAGCTCTGCAGAGAAGGACCGGAGGGTGCTGGTGGACAACAAGCTGTCCATAAGACAGCAACATCTCATACCAAAGGTCGCGAACAGCCTCCTGAACAGCGTTAAGAGCAGCACCGCCAGCATGTGGAGGGAGGTGATCTTTCCCTTAAAAACTACACTGGTGAGGCCACACCTGGAGTACTGTGTACAGTTCTGGGTTCCTCAGTACAGGAAAGAGATGGACTTACTGGAGTGAGTCCAGTGAAGGGCCACAAAGACGGTGAAGTGACTGGAGTACCTCTCACATAACAAGAGGCTGAGAGACCTGGGACTGTTCAGCCTGGAGAAGAGAAGGCTCAGGGTGATCTTATTCGTATGCATAAATACCTGATGGGTGCGAATGAAGAAGACAGAGCCAGGCTCTTCTCAGTGATGTCCAGACATAAGACAAGAGACAACAGGCAAAAATTCAAAACCATAAAATCTCATCTGAACAAGAAAACACTGTTTCACCATGAGGGTGGTCAAACATGTTGCCCTGAGAGGCTGTGGAGTCTCCGTGCTTGAAGATACTCAAAACCTGACTGGACATGGTTCAGAGCAACCTGCTCTAGCTGACCCTGCTTGAGCAGGGGGGGTCAGACTTGATGGTCTCAAGAGGTCGGTCCCTTCCAACCACAGCCATTACGTATGACTCTGTGTGAAAGAGGAAAAATGACTAGTGTGCTTTATGATTATACACAGGCCTGCTTACTCATTCCAAATGTACATTTCTGACGCTTAGAAGGTTACCATATTTCTTTTACGAGATGCAAAATATCTCATCAACATCCTGAAGAAGGATGCAGGTGAACAGTGAAAACCATGACGCACAGACATGTCTGGTCCATTTGCTTGCCACACATTTCAACACTTCTTGCACACAGGCAGCTAGTACTTTTGTCTTCAAGAGCAGCAAAGCTTTACATAGTCTACTGAACCAGCTTCTCTTCTTTATCAGTCTTGTTTCCTTTCCTAACATAGCAGTGTAGAAAAAATAAGCCCTTATTTTCTGTGTAAATTGGATACGCCAACGTCAGAATCCAAGCATCTCGTTCTCATCTCTGTATACGAACTTAACTCCTGCAATCTGCAATCTTTAAAATCCAAGCTTGTGTTAGTAGTTATAAATGCAGTTTACTCATACTGGAATGTTAAACATTAAATACCAGCATAATATTTTTAACAGCATGATTCTTGTTTCCCCTCGCAAGTGCTGGACCAGGATATGCTTAATAAATAATTAATTCCATCGTTATCCTAAATATATCAGTTACTTCTGAAGACACAGGCCCGACTTCACTCACAAATAAAAGCTTGTTTGAAAAAAGAAACATGCTACTCTTATCTTGGCAGCTTTCCCTGGATCTCCTGTCACAGACTCAAGTTCAATATGATAAAAGTAGGGTTCAATTTTCCCTTGCTTCTGTCTCATTTTCTCCTCTATATAAAAATGTTGCTGTCTTGTCTCTTAATTAAAACACAAAGCCCTTTTTATTCCTCCTTCTGTTCTTCTCTCCTTTACATACCAATAAATGCTTCACCTCCCTTAATTTCTTTGAACGCAGCCCTTGACTATTTTCTGATGCCATTTCTCACTCTGCCTCTTGCACATCTCCTTTCTGGATGTCTCCATCCTGCAGCTCTTGGCATTCTCCATTTCAATTCTAACACGGGGTTCCTGTCACCCTGTATTACAGATATGCCCCAAAGGCCTTGGCAGCTTCCCTTATGCTCTTCCTGTCACAGGCCCACTTTCGGGTGCACTGCTGAAATGATATTTTTGGCCATGAACTTTGAGCAGCCTGGGAGTTTCAATATTCAATATTCAGTATTCAATGCCCTATTCTTGAAAGCACTTTGAAAAAAGCGCTTCTTGAAAACATTTCATAGTACGATCAAAATTACCCTTGATTTTCTAATCACAACTTGCTCTCCTTTTCTGCAGTCAAATGTCTGATGGATTTCCACGACCACTCAAGCAAACAACAAACACCTGGACAAGAATACACTCCCAAAACAGAGGCTTTGTGGAGATGAAAGGCGACAGCACAGTGACAAACATGTCCTGATTCATTGTAGGAAGCTAAAAGAAAACAGTCACAATCCTTGTTTCCTCAGTAAAGGCTTAAAGAATAAAGACAAGTTTGTTTGGTTTTCTTTACCTTCCCCCCTACCCCTGTCCCCAGAAAGGCTATTTGACATCCAGGTCTGTCTCTTTGCTTTGGGCTCGCTCCAGCAGATCTTTCCAAATCTTTCCTACTGGGTAGAGCTGTAGTAGGGTAGAGCTGTTAGCAAATTCTAGCAAACCATGGCAGGGTTCCAGCCAATGGCTTGCTTTTTTCTTCCAACAGAGGGAAGCTTTGTTCTTCTTTCCATAACCCCTTCCTGGCCACACACACTCCCTCCCCACACACACTCCCTCCCCACTCTCTTGCACTTCCCCAAAATTCCTTTGAACCAAGCATTCCAAACAGATTTTTTTTTTATATAATTTTTTTTCTAATACATAGTTTTCTGTCTGGTCAGTGAATTGAATGGACTCATAGAAGGATTCATCAAATGTCAGAGCTCACGCAAGGTACCTCATGAGAGTTTGTTGATACCAGGATAGTGTAGGCGAGGAATCTCTTTTTATGACAGTAAGCTATGAGATCAGCTCTCCCTTTCTTGTGAAATGACAAGATGACACTACTTACAAAAGTTAACTCTGTACCAGAGAATACACAGATGCAGCTTTGGGCTTACAATTTGCAACTGTTTAACCCACTCCTGAAAACAGGGAGAAAGAGATATAAGAATCTATAAACATGTATGTTCTTATCTCACAGCTCTTTATAACTTAATTTCCAGATAATGGTGCTAATCCTTCGAAATCCATTCTTAATCTAAATGTATGCAATCTATACTTCTCATTATAGAGTTTCATCAGATTGTTTTTAAAAGTTATTTCTTTTAGAAAGAAAGCTAAACCACAACGATAAACTCATTAGCTACCAGTATATTTCTGGTCATACCTGTGATCATACTTGATATGATTAATGGCAGAATGATGAGTTTGAGCATTCTCATCAACACTTCCCCAGGAAAGGAAAAGTAGAATTTATCCAGGTTAGACAGTTTGCCATATTCCCGTACCAGCATGCCGACTCCAATACCTAAAAGACACATAAAAAAACATGACACAAATTAGCAGTAATTTGTAATAGAGACATGGGGAAAAATCAGGAAAAACAGAAGACCAGTAAAACAAAAACAGTGAGCAACAGACACATGTTTACAGCCATGGTGGAACTTCTAAAGCAACTTATAGAAGAGATATTTCCTTTTCTGTTCTATATATTGATGACAGGCACAGTAATAACACACATAATTCCGAACTTGGAGGATGTCTTTAGGTATGCCTTTAGAAAAATCTTGATTATGCCCTCTGATTATCAGTCCAGTCCAGCAGTGACTTTTTTACCTGCTTTCACTAGCTCTAGAAGACTGGTAACTGGCATTCAAAAAACCAATATAATATAAAACCACTACCATACATTAAAGAAGGAAAGTGATATGATACAAATATTTTAGATAATTTGTATTGGCAAAAGTATGTCTACCCAGCAGCAATGCTTTCACTAATTGCTAATACACTCTGTGTATTTCACACTCATTCCACTACATGACCGACCTACAAAATACCAGACTATAAGATAATCAGTGACTGAGCCACAGCACAAAGTACCTTTGTACTTCCTCTTAGCTTTGAATTAAATGAACTACCAGATAATTCTAGATTCTGAGACAAATCACACATAAGAGTTCTACCAACAGAAAACAAATCATAGGCCAAAAGACAACTCTCTTCAGTTTGACAGGCTATGCCTTTATTTTACATTTCACCATGATTTTCAAATGAAAATCACTGGTATAGGAAACGTGTTCATCAGTGTTTAGAAAGCATTATGACTGCTGTTTCACATATGGGCTTTGTAATGCTTCAGTCCTGGCTAAACTGAGTATCAAGAGATCCGATTTCTAACTGGATTCAATGAGAGACATGGCAGCTCAGAACCCTTCATTACCCACTGAGCGCTGAAAGGTCTTCATATGAATAGCCTCACTGAAGTTAATGAAATTATTTGCACCCCTTGGTATTTTAGTGACATCAGTGATGTGTATTTCGCAGCAGAATTGTTACAACAGCACAAGAAGGTGTTACCAGTCTACCTTTACCAGCCTCGGTGGCTCATGGAAACTTGCAGGGTCCCAGAAAAGTTGCTAGTGCCCAAGCCAAATGTAGCTCTTCCCCCAGTTTTATTTTTGACGGTATACAAGGCATTTAAGTCAGACATTGCTCAAGAAGCTGGTGTAAGTCTCACTGAACAGGCTTACAGGATGCATTTCTTATTTTAAGTGACTGAAGTTGTGGAGGCAGACAACACCAGCAAGTTCAAAACCAGATTTAAGCAAATCCACAGACAGCTAGTCTGTACTGTTGATACTGAAGGAAATAGCGATTCCACACACAATTCTCTACTAAAGAATAAACTCAGTGTCTTTTAGAAAGTAAGGATTTTTGTAAAAATCTTCCCTAAAGATTCACCATGGCTGTGGTTTGTGGTAGTTCACACGCCACCTGGATGGTAGTTGATGCAGAAATGTCAACTATTAGTTACTTTCACAGAATTTGCCTCTGAGAGCACAACAAGACAATGAACCATCTTTTCTGTGCTCTATCTGCACCTGCAAAAACAAGCTGAAAGAAAATAGAGGCAGATTATAAACTCCTACCAAGTCTTTCCTGGTAATAAGGAGATGCAAAATGAACAAGTTAACCTTTCAGGCAAATAAGCTGCTCTAAGCAACTATTAAGATTTCTGATTTAGGAGTCACCTGTGCCAGTGAACAAGGACAGTTCAAATTCCTTGCAATAATCTTGAAACTCCATAGCCTTGAACATACTTGCAATATTATGTAAATGACCCAGACCAGCGAATGATAAGACACGATGATCTCTATTTCCAATCTAGTGACTAAACTAAATGTGTCCAAAATAATTAGTCTGCACTATAAGCCCAAGCAAGATAAAACTCTATTTGTAAAATGGTTACATGTATCGAAGTAAGTTGCTAAGGCTTTGATCCTGAAAACACCAGTGTAAACAGCTGAATCTAAGCACACAGGTAATCTCCATGTCTTCAGACTATTCGCACAACTTAGCGCAGGCACATGCTTAAATTACAGCAAGACTAGACTGTATGTTTATTAAAAGTTGTGTAATGCCACCTTTACTTTGAGCAGGTGTGACTAGGACATGTTCTAATTCTGTGCCTTTCATTCCAAGTGGTGACTGTCTGACCAGCTGGGAAGTTTGATCATTGTACACTTCGCAGGATTACTACCAGGTAGAAAGATTCACCCTCATTTTCATTCTCCACAGTTCTCTTTTCCACTGCTTTGGATTTCACTACAGAAACTTCCCATGTGCTGTCAAAATTTGAGCAGGATTTCCTTAAGCTTTTTCGCTTACATATTTGTATTTTCTTTTTTCTTTTTTTTTTTTTTTTGGTGAGGATATTATTGATCTAGTGGCAGTAACTGAAAATAGACTTCCTCATTCCAACAGTCTCTTGAAGTTATATTATTGCTCTCTCTTCCTTGTTTATGTTATTCCTTTACCAGGCAGAGCACTTATATCTATATTAACTTGTGTAGTATGCCAGAATACAACAAAATGCAGCTACCTTTTAATTGGAGCTAGTACCTACCATATACTGCTTGAATTTAGCATGGGAATATAGGAAGAAATTTTATTTTGTAACAGTAACCAGAGAAGGTTTGAAAGTTAGCAGAATAAATTTGCTTCTGTACCGGAAATGGACATATATAGAAGTTTTTGATCCTTGTCTCAATAACCAAGTTCAACTGGAATTTTCTTCCTAGGAATTAAAATGCACAGAAAGAAGTGTGGCCTAGCACAAACACATACCACATGGTCGTCAATGCTTTTGACATCACATTGATTACAGCAGGTCTAAGCAAGCATAGACAGAAGGTCTTATAAAATGTTGACTTCTCTACATCAGTGCTACTGATACTCCACCGTTTCTGAAACTAATTCGATGTGCAATTACTTCTAACAACCACAAAACACCCTACAGTAGGAAAAGCCTCTATTATACACTAAGATTTTTTTCTTTCTTTTAATTTCTCTCTTTTTCATTTATGGAATAATTCACTTGTGCTTTTTTTAAAGAGCTAAACATCACTTTTCCTGCTTGTCCTCTTCCTCTCTCCTCAGTTTCAACTACTCCACCTTTCTTCTTGACCCTGATAAATTGTTCTTTCTTTTCCATCCCCTCTCCTTGCTCTTCCTTCTTGCTCATATAGCTAAGGTAGACTATGATTTTTACCAGGAGAGCGATCCTCTAGTTACAGCTCAATGGCATGTACTGCTCAAGGTCTGGACTTCTGCAATACTAGGCAGAAGCAAATAATGAAGGTGGAAAAAACAGTACAATCCAATGCCTTTTTTTTGTTTTCTAAGGCAAATATCTCCTTGCAAGTGTGCATAGTACAGCACGCGCTGTATAGAATGGCGTCTACTTTTTCTTTCCCACCAGCCACTGACACAGAAAGCGAAAGGTGCAGCCTGGGTCCCTGCGATTGCAAGCCACGAAGAGGCCACAGGAAACCTCTTGTCTGAACCAGCATTAAACAACACATGTCTTCGCTCCTTGGCACTACTCTCACAGGTAGCACATTGTCTTTTTACAAGCTTGGTATCAGACATAAAATCCTTCAAAGAAAGGCTGTAAATGCTCATTAAGAGAAGTGAGGGGCGAGAGTGTGAAGAACAAGAGAAGAAAAACAGTGTGGAAGAAGATCACTGAAAATTAGCATACCAAGAGAAATCTGTTTGCACCCACCTTTCAGGTAGTCCCAGCACAAAAAGCTAGAGGGAATACATGCTTCCCCTGTATGGGATGACCCATTTTTTTGTTGTGTTACCCAGGCAGAGGGGAGCAGAAAGTACTGCAAGTGGACAGGACCTGCAAATGGCTGCACTGCATGTAGCACTCAGTCCATCACATCTGCCAAGCCTGAGGCTCTCCAGGGCCTAGAAGATGGTGTCTGTATCTAATAAGGTTGCAGAACTAGTCTGGCCTGTGTACGTGCATGCAGCGAGTGAACCACAGAAATCAGGTAAAATGTGTCTTGAGAGACCATTATGTTGTAAGTTCTACATATCTGCAAAGCTAACTCTGTGACATTTGGGTATTTGGTGAGCGCTCTTTTACCACCATCTGCCCTGCATCCAGAGTATGTCTTTTTTGCATATCATTGTTGTTTCTGAAATGTTGTCTACGGAAAAACGCAAATTATTTGCATGAGAACAACTGTAGGACTACTACATTTTTCTTCAAGTACTGGGCTGCAGTTCATGACACCGATTTGGAAATGAGTAAGAAAAGAAACACACACCCTCTTCGCACAAATTCCATAATCTCTGGGCTCATCTACACTAGCACACATAGGGAGTGTCACAGATTGTCCTACAGCTATCGTAAACTTGCAAAAATGTGCTGTTCTCTCAGCAACCACCTGAGCAACCAAATGTAGTGACTAGTTACAATTTGTCAAGAAGTGATGGTTAAATCCTAATGCCTTTTTTCCATAATTATGTGGGGTCAAAACAATTCAGACCTTGAATCTGAAAACTCAGAACCCCCGAGTAGCTGCATTCTGTTCAGGGCATGCAGTATGAAGCGACTGTAGTTACTTGCTTATGTCATTACCGCTGTGTGTTAAGATGCCCTCCAGAACCTGATTAAATCTTTGATAACAGGATAGCATCATACTATGCACCTCTACTTTCTTTATCTTCACTCACAGGCAAAACAACTCACAATTTAGAAAGAAGTAACTGAAGTCCACACACAGACATGCCTGGTCCTAAGTCTCACTGAAAGATAATATAAACCAGATAAAATAGGAATCTAGCAGGTAGGAATCCCACATATGTTATTTGCACTCACAGATGACAACGCTGATATGGGATCCATGGCGTTAGTGTACGTGACACTGCAGAAATGGCACATCACCTTCAACTCTCACTGACTTTACTATGGCAATGAACCATAAAGACAATGAGAAAAGAAATTCAGCATATATTTCTGGAGAACAAATCATCTGTTTCGTAAAATGTTCTGAAGTACACCATGTCCCTCTCTGAAAAAAGTTGTGGTATTTATTTTTCCTCTTTTCATATAATTCCAGCACATAGAAGCCCCCTTTCACTGGAGCGGAGTTAGCGATTCTGGCTGATACTGACAGACAGTGGGGAAATTACAGGAATTTTGCTTTGATATGGCATTGAAAGAAGAAAAAAACGTGGGCATGCCTCATGGTCCAAACCTTATACTATTTAATTGTACTGCAGCAACACGGGTTGTGCTATTAACAAAGTGATAAAGTTCTTCATAATTTCACATGATACGCTGTTCACATAACAGACTAAAATACAGTTACTTCTATCATACAGGTGGGTCTTAATTGGATTATCTTTACAACAGATGATTCATGGGATGCAAAAGGCTGGCAAACAAAGTTTGCTGACTTGATTTGAAACACAGTACAAAACACGCAACATAAACATGTCAAATTGCAGCACAAGCAGGCAAGATTTTTGCAGCCTGTGATATAGCCGGAGTCCTTTTGCAATATTTTATAAAATCTATTTTTTTCTGCTCCATCTAGAGTTTCTGTAATATCACTGTCTGTCTCTTAACTGCAAAGAAATACACAGTGCCAACTACAGAACACTAAAATAACGGACGTAGAGCAGATTCTTACTTATAATAACACTTCTAAATTTATTATTTCAGCTTAATAATTCAGCGCTCTTTGGATTGTTTTTAATATTGTGTAACATTACACATTTTACTGTTTTACATTCTACTCGACAATTAATATTCCTTCTAATAAACGTACTGATGTTGACTGAAAAAAACATAGATTCTTAGAAAACCGCAGGCAACTACTGAGGTCGGACTTAGTCTCTGGGGTATAATTGCATGGCAACAGATCTTAACTCTCTGGATGCCACTGTGGCCCAGACTACCAGCTTGCTTGCATAGATACGTGACAAAAAGTCCTGTCAGAAATCTTCCAGCAGGAGCAAGTTCCCAAGTCAGATCTTGGTCTACGGAAAAATATTTGGTAGGAATGTATTGGAGGAAGGTGTGGTCATTCCTCCACCGTGGTGAGACTCTCTGTGTCCTCTCTCCGATTAACCTGTTAAGGGTGCAGTGGTTGTAAATTCCTTCACACAAATGACATGCTGGCACTGCACTGTAAGGGAAGTTTAGGTGGACAATGACTCCCTGTGATGGACCTTCAGGAATGAAGGCAAGGTGGAGCATTGGCCAGATGGGTAAAAAAACCCCTGCTTCTCCAGCCGTGGGGTACTTCCCTTACTCACAGCAGGTGTGAAGGCCGCTGCAACCGGCAAAGCCACGTAACTCCTGCTACTTTCTGTGCTGCGGGAGCCTGGAGCAGGGCTGATTAACACAGAGCAGCCTGGAGCAGTCACTGATAACACAGAGCAGCCTCTCTGCAACGCAGCCCTGCACAGGGCCCACCCCAGCCTTAGTCAGACCAAGGCTGGTTATTTCATTCAGCCAGGAAAAGGGAAATAATGGTCACTCTCGTGTGCCTATGAGCGACCACAGTTCTGCTGAATGCTGACCCAGTGTTGCCCCACAACGGCAATGTGCAGATGGCTAAGCAGTTTAATAATTTAACAGTCTCTCCTACTGGACTCTTAGATTCTTCTCATTTCTCTAAATATGCTGTAGATTAATTTCATGTGTACATATCTTCCAAATATTTTCAGTACACTGACGTAACTTCCATTTGGGAAAGCCAAGATATAAGAATACAGTTGATGGAAAGGAAAAGCTTTATGATCGTCTTCATCTGTACATGTATCTCAGGGCAATAGCGATAACTGCTGTACAGAACCTACCTATAGGAACAGCCCATCAACATGCAGAAAAAATACAGAAGTGCTGCGAAAAAGTCATTCCTTGCTTAGTCCTTAACTCTGTTAAGACAAAATAAGACGTGTCAGAGACATAATCTGCCTCTTTCACAGCTTTTCAACAAACTCGGGACTCCTTCGACTTGTGAAGTTAAGTACAGCACTTACAACCTTAACATAACAAACACCATATTACAAAGATTATGTCATGAATTAAGCAATCTGGGGAAAAATGACTGTTCTTTCCCAGCAGCTACACAAACCAAATTTCCTCATGAATTTGGATGTGTCCCACTGAAAGTACATGTTTTGCTGGGGAATACTATGCGAAACCCATCAAGGCTTCAGGAAAAGTGAACTCAAACTGGAACATAAACAAAGAAGGACTGTAGAGTGATGAAAAGAATAAGGAGCATACCTTCCGAAAGGAGATTAAAGAGCTTAGTTTGTCCAACTGTGAGCTAGAAATACAGAAAATGGTTGACTAGCAGAGTAAGAGCAATGTTTTAACAAACGGATGCAAACTGAACCTGAATACATTTAGACTGGAAATGGTAAGGCTTTCAACAATCAGACTGATTAATACAGATCCCTAGGAGGATGTGCAACACCAAGAAGCCCACCCAGCTTTAAAGTGGAGCATGATACGTTATAGAAGTTTATGTAAAATGGTGTAACCTGAAGCAGCAGTAGACTAGATACGATAACCCAGGAGGTATCTTTCTATCTCATATTCCTATGTCTTACAGTAAAATTGAAACTTAAAGTGACAAAGGTAACCTGCCCTTCTTCTTTTTGCTCTTCTCCATGACCTCTTTCAGCTGCCACTACTCAAGCCACTAGCATTCTCATTCACCCCACCCACCTCTAACTTGCGTGCCTTCTTTAACTATGACCCCCTCCTCTGCAGTCATCCGGACATGTACAGGTCTTGTTGCTTCCTCCATGTCTCCAAATCCACTCAATTTTATAAAATAGTGCTTTCATTGTGACCCTTTCATCACTCATTTCAGACACTGTCATGCCCCCAGTTCTGGTGTTCCTAGTGTCTAACATTCTGCTTACATGGCCTAACATACTACAAGACCAATAGCACCATTCCGATGCCACCCAAAAAATCAAGAGCTTCTCACCCTATCTTGTAAAAGGCCACTGATCCGTTCTCTTTCCACAACATCTGCTTTCTATCCCAAAGGTGTATAAGCACCTTTGTACATCCTGTATAGCTCAAAAGATATTAGCCTAACAGAGCACATCAGGAAAAATGCATCTTCATTTAAACCCTTGAAACACACAAGAAACTAAATGGTTGGCAACGGTGTGAGAAAGGTGAAAAGCTAGCAATTGGGAATATCTGCCACATTCTGACCCTTGTTACAGCTTCTGTTTTAAACTGTGATGAGAGGAAAGGACAGAAAACAGGACATACTGTTCCACCTATCCCCTTGCTGGAAGGGCAGTGGAATGATTCTGACTGTAATAAACTGAGATAAGCAGCCGGAATGGCGATTTAGAGGAAACCGAAGACAGACAGGCAGTGACAGCAGAAACATCATTATTCTGAAACTAATGAGGACATCAAAGCATTGAGAAATCAGAGATATGACCTAGAAAATTAGTTCAGATTAAGCAAGGCCGGGTTGTTTGTGGTTCCAAAAGCATGAAAGGACCAAGAGATGGCTGTTTTGCAATATATTGTTAAAATACTTAGATTATATATAATCCATAGAAATTGTTATCACATCACATTTAATCTTCTGGCATGCTATCAGGTTCTCATGGAATGTGCAATATGTGGAACAATGGTAGACAGAAAAATATATCTGGAACATTAAGTCCAATATAGCCCTGATCTTCAGCATAATGTATGATACAAACATGATCTCACACCATGAGATACTGTTGTGGGGCCATAAGTAAGAATGCCCTCCACAAATCCTATGAGGCTTTTGTAAAAAAAAAAAAAAAAAAAAAGGTAGATTTGCAAACAGTGCAAGTGTTGTTTGTGAACAGTCTCAAACAGAACTTTATCTGTTTGATGGGGTATATAAGAAGAAAGTGTCTTTATGCTTTGTTAAGATGTAAACAGAAACGGAAACATATTTTTGTAATTGCTTTGCAGTATTTTCCCTTAAATAATACTAGGAAAATGGAAATAATAAATATTTTGCCGGTATTAGTATTGGTGTTAAGTGTTTCAAATGGAAAGAAATATTTCATTGACTGGTAGCTTTGGGGCTTTGTAGAGTGTGAACTGACCTTAGGCTCACACCTTCCAAAGCTCCCATTGTTTAAAAGCTCAGCTCCAGTGACAGTTTCACTTCATTCACATGAAATGAAACCCAGACTTTATGTTAAAACAAGACACAAAATACACGGACAACAGGAAAACAGAAGAACAAAAAAAAGTTAGTTTTTCTTTGCTTCAAAACAGTTCAAGAGCAAAAGAGGCACCATGCTTAACCTCAGTTATCTTTGGTTTCTTTTGTTCGCTGAGTTTCTGTCTCAGAGCATTTTTGATCCTCAGCAGTATGTGAAACCCCCAGATGAAAATGCTGGCCATTCTGCATTTCACTTTCTGTCTTTAAGATTAAATTTAGACATTCTTTCAGAATTGCTGGGTTTCACAAATCTCCGAACAGATCCCATCCTGTACTGAGTTGTATGCAGTGTGACAGAGAAGAACTGACAGGTAAGCATCACAACTGTTCAAAGATGCATAAAAAGTCATAAGTATCATCTATGCTGCTGTAAATCACATCTGGAAGACACCAGAGTCTTCTGTTAAACTCCCTTGCTGCCAAAGTTGATTCAGGATGCCTGGTCTTCACTTGTATAAATCTCGAATTGATAAAATGTTACGCGTCAGAATTCAAGAAATAAATCAGATGTTTGCTTTACAACTGTACTTGCCAAAACCGACAGGATAATAATTCCTTTGCTTTAGTATATTCCCTTTAATTTTTTTCCTGCTGTGAAGAAAACAGCTCTGTTTTTGGTAGTATCTTTCAGGAGGCAATGAATCTGCTTCATTGTTTGTAACCTTCACGCTGCATTGAGCAAGCAAAGAGAAATGGTACAGAAGATGGCCTAAAGTAAGTTAATGGGCCACTTTCTGGTAAAGGTACGAGGAGCTGGAAATGAAAAACGATGAAGCCTTACTCCATATCCAGAACAGGCTTATTTTAAAATTCCACTTGTCAGAGACAGAAACAGCTTAGTGGGAGAAACTGGAAGACTTCATAGGTTTATGGGGTTTAGAGGCTGAAGGCTACATTTGCAAAAGAAACTTCTCACCCTCAGGAGTATGGCGAGCTCCCTGGATTCAGGGTGGCCTTCCGTGCGGTGGGAGGCTGTCAATAAAGTGACATGTTACTAATTACTGCGTTGTTGTCTTCGCCCCGCGAGACACCCATTCTTGTCAGAACGCAATGCTGGGCTTCCAGTGCACGGAAGCTTCCAGCATGTGCTGGCACTGCTCTGACACGGGTGAATTTTAAAGGAAGCAGCTATTAAATCCCCTCGTCGCTGGTTGCAGAGGGAGCCTAGCCTTCCTACCCACAGTTAGCAGGTGTGAGTGCACTTGACTTTTCTTTTTTAAACACAGACCTGTGAACAACATATATTCTTCTAGGGAGATACTACTCCTTCATACTATAATACAGAATAATAATTTTCATTAAAGAGAGTGGATTTTTGTCCTATGGACTGCTGGAGTGATATCGTAACACGCGACACAGACGCTCCAGCGGCTGCTGCACCCCCCAAACCCCG